AAAAAACACCATTATTGTCGCGGCCGTTGGGACCCCGCTGCTTTGACTTCAAAAGCAAAATCGGCTTGCGCATCTGTCGGCCCTGCTCTTGGGGCCCCTGCACGACCCCACCAGGCGGCCGAGCTGTGTGCGTGGCCGTGGCGCATCTGCGCCCGCAGCAGCTGCGCCGCAAGCCGTCCGGACAGCGCGGTCCTACGGTTCGCTCCCACCCGCTGCCCTATCAGGGCATTTGCTTGTGTCATGTACAATTCATCAGGCTAAATGGTGGCCCCCTTCTTGCCCATACACACGTGTGCAGCGTTGGTGGTGGTTCCACTCCGTGTTGTCAAAAACAAGAAACATTGGGCAACACAGGGGCCCCACCTGTGCTCCTGCAGCCTCACGCGCTAATTTACCTGTCGTAAAATGCTCTTGCTGCCTTTTCTTGGACTTGGAAAGCAGATGGGTTTCTGGTCGCAAGGAAATGCAAACCTGACCAACCAATCGAAGGCCAAGATATCAGTCGACTGGTGGACGTCGCTCGCACTCTGACAGGTAGCTTGGATGCTCCGTCTGTTCACACAGTTCAGTGCATTGTGTACTTATGAACCCTGCTGGCCCCAAATAAACCCTCCAAACACATATCAGCAGTTGTCTGTGGCAGTTGCAGCAGCGATTACAGCATCGTGCCACAGTGCAGAGACAACATCGAGCAGGGGGGAGTTGCTACAAGCGCTCGTCTTCTGCAGAGGGGTGGGAGGTCACGTGGGCCGCCCTGGTGAACATGAGACTGTTTAAACGCAGAGTCGGAAGGCAGAATAAATGAACGGCCGTGTGCGTGCAATCAAGGATGGCGTGTCACGCCTCCCCTTGCACCGTTTCAGAACGGCCCGGTCACCAGCGCACACACACCAGGAAATCCTTTGGGTGTTTCGTTGACGCATGCCAGCTGCCTGCAAGATGGGAGGGGCGTGCGCAGGCGGCAAGCAGGAGTCGCGACAGCCAAGCGCACTCTGTGAATGCAGAGTACCCAGGATCTTGGCAGCGGCGGCGTATGAGAACTTTACAAGGAGATCAAAGAATTTCTGAGGTGGACATTATCGGAGATGAACAGCTTGAACGTTGACACGGGTGTGATGCAACCTAGGGATAACAGCGGATTTTTGGGGGGTGGAATTTGGGTTGTGGGAGACTGCCGCTGGTGGTGCAATCGCCTTGAATTGACACTGCAGCCTGCATTGTGACCTGAACAACGCGCGTACTCCTTGTCAAGCCATACCACATCCCCAAGCCACGGGCTGTGCTGGTGTCGAATAACAAACGCATACATGAACCACCGCAGACATGAACCCTGGGCCCCAACCAAGCCGCCCTACCTGCCTGCTTGTGCCGGCGCCTGTTTGATGATACCCTCTCACCGGGCCCACACGTGGTGACGTCCACCGGGGCCAGCCAAAGTGCTGCCCGGAAAGCGCCGATCCATTGTAACCACCTGCAGGCCGCAGGTTTGGCAATGGGGAGGACTAATTGTGGGAAGGGTCTCACAAATCGCCAAGAACTCGCTCCAGTACATGTGCGAATGCAGGTGTCATCCCAACGCTGTAATAGAATCATCAATACCTTGCAATGCATCAGTTGACGTCCCATACCTCCTGACCGTACCCCGCCCAACGCCGCACCTCCAGTTGGGAGCCAAGACCACATTGACGT